CCCTGACTGGGAATCGAACCCATGACCTTCTGCTTCATAGGTAGATGCTCAACCACTGAGCCACCCCGGCCGGGCAAGGCTCCTGATTTTTAAAAAAGCGACTTTGGAACAAAAAGGGTAGGTTGTTATTATTAATTATTATTATTTGGTAAATCAATCAAAATCATACCTATTTCTTGTGCCAGATCAGCAAAAAAGTAATGCATTTGTTAGTGCCCACAGCTTTTAGTGGTTAGTCTGTGGATGCGCTGAGATGACAAGGGTTGGGAAACGCCTTGTAGTTGGTTCAGTCAGCTGTCAATCAGGCCACATCGCCCCCGCCCCCTACAGCCCAAGGCACCTGGGCCATAAAGGGAGGCTGAGGATGAGGGGTGGCGGGCCACAGGGGAGCAGTGGGACAGCCACGCGCACTCCTTTCTGTGGGGACGCGGCGGGTTCTCCGGGCTCTAGAACAGCCCGTTCCAGGTGGGGCAGGGGCTTTAGGGGTGGAGAACGGGCACGGACCAGCTGTGAGAGAAGTGCTCGGGGAAGGAGGGGAACGGAAGTCCCTGCCTCCGTTTCCCAAGGAAACTCCCTCGTGTGTGATGATGCGGACCCGGCTGGCGGCCTGGGGTCCAGCTGCGGGCTAGCCCTCCCGGAGTGTCCAGGGCGAGGCGTGCTCCGAAAATGCTGGTTTCCTGAGCCAGGACTTTGTCCCCCTTTTTTTCAAAGGAAGGGCCATAGGCCCAGTGGTCTGTGTCCCATAGCCCCGCAGCCCTCAGCCTCCTGCTGGGCCTGGAAACAGCCTTACCCCCATCTTCCCATCTATTCTCATGCGCCCTTCGCCCCAAGCGTCTCTTCATTCAGCCGTGCGGAGCTGGCCCTCTCTGTACCCCACGTCCGTCTGAACTGAAACAGGAAACACAATGCAGCTGGCACAGGGTCCCCCGGGAAGGCCTGCAGCAGTGAGGGGGCAGCCGGGGCGTCTCCGGTTGTCCCAGCACCGGATGGCTCATCCTCTGGAAAACCCAGTGGCCATCACCATAAACGTGTGTGTCAGTGTGACCTATGCCATGCGTGACGCCTGCATTTACAGCTCACATGACAAGGGCCTCATTCCATCACCAAAAAGCTTGTCCCTGACCGGTTTGGCTCAGTGGATAGAGCGTTGGCCTGCGGACCGAAGGGTCCCGGGTTCAATTCCGGTCAAGGGCATGTACCTTGGTTGTGGGTACATCCCCAGTGGGGGGTGTGCAGGAGGCAGCTGGTCGATGTTTCTCTCTCATCGATGTTTCTAACTCTCTATCCCTCTCCCTTCCTCTCTGCAAAAAATCAATAAAATATATATATTTTTAAAAAGCTCTCGTCAGTCATTTGGGAAGAAAGAACAAGCCCAGGTAAAGAGGAGACGAATTAAGGGTCAAATATAAGACGACACGAAGGGTCGAGCTCAACGCAAGAGGAGCCACGTGAAGGGCCACTGATGGGGCCCCGCCCCCGCCGCCCGCCCGTCACGGGGACTGTGTCAGCCGCGTGCCCGCTGAGCGAGGCTCCGCCAGGGCCCGCGGGCCATCCAGGCCCGTCTCTGCGAACAGGAGCGTTCGCCTCCCCTCGCACACGGCGGGCCTCCCACCATCGCTGATTCCTCCAGACCACGGCGGGAGACGGCCCAGGGGTGCCCACGCACGGGCAGCGGGCCTGTGAGCTTGAGGAAGGGCTGGTCACCTGCTCCGATAACGGAGCGTACAATCCAGAAGGCCTGCCTCCTGCCCGCACCTCCCACGTCCTGCTCCTGGAGAGTACTGCTCTGGGGCCGTTCTGTGAAACACCGTAGAGTCAGCGGATTGTTAAATAAATCCTGAATTCAACGCAGGGCGGATGCCCAGAATCCTTTTCTCTGTGCAAATATTTGCTGAAACGCTTAGAAAACACCTGCGTCCGCAGCAGGGCTTTCCCTGCCGTTTGCAGCGTCTCCGTCGCCGGAGGAGGAAAGGGGCGGCTTACGTTCCCTGGGGGGAGCCCGGCTCCTGGTCTCCAGCAGCTCCCGGAACTCGGTGCCCCACCTACTCCTTTTGTATCAGGGATCAGACCACATGCGAGGTGCAGAGGGGGATCCGAGACGCACACGTCGTCCCCACCGCCAGGCGCTCCTGTGCGATGCGTCCCATCCTCGTAACCACGGCCTCGGCAGGCAACCATCTGCTCTAGGAACAGGCTGATCCGGGAAAGAGCGGGGCTTGAATGGACGTCCCCTTTCCCGCTGTTTGTTGCCTGCCCTGCCCGCTAATCAGAATCCATGAGCTGCTTAGTGAGCGTGGATGGCTGTATTGCGCCGTGTCCCCGAGGCTGCCGTGGCTCCTGGCCGCGGCCCTCAGCTACGCTGACACCCCGTCAGTGTACCTGCAGCTCATCCGGGGGGTGGGGGGGTCCCTGCAGTGTCTGAGAACATGCTCTGCACAGTCCTGGCTCCGAGGGGACCTGGAGGTGGTCCTGGCCCGGCCACGCCCCACCCGGAAGCTTCAGAAAACCCCCTCACCCTGCGGGCACACGGCTTCTGCCTGGCGAACAGGAGTGAAAGGAGATACTCGCCACGGCTGAGAAGTGCCGAGCAGTGAGGTGGCCGGGCCTGGAGGCTTCTGGACTATTCCAGCACCCGGGATCTCTCACCCTCGGGAAAGCCCTGTCGCCATCGCCATAAATAAAGACATATGTCAAATGTACGATGAGCAGCATGCGCGGGCCCATTACAGTGTTAAAGAGAACGGACGGACGCCATCTGTAACCATTCCCAAACTTGAGGATGTTTAGTAAACTATGTATTTACTCTGTCGGCGTTTTCTGATCCGCTCCTGTGGGTAGATTAATTATGGATCTGAAGCATTTACGCAGGAATGTTTCTTAAGGAATGCAATTAACTAGCAAGAGGCAATTAGCGAGTCTTTGGGAAAGAGTGGGCGGTGCCTTACACAGACGTCAGCTTTAATCATTTGCTCAAAACTTTTCATAGCCATTATTCGCACGGCATCTTTGGGGGGCGATTATTTCACTTAGGTTTTCGAGCACATTGCGGCTGCGTGGGGTTTCCTAAACTTAATTGCTCAGTGTTTAAAGCTAAGAATTTAATGTGAAGTTAATCGTATTTTGATTGTCGAGCCGTCGGCACCGCCGACTGTATAATGCGTGTCGGTTCCCGCCGGGCGGGCGGCGTGTCCAGCTCCGGGACAGTCTCAGGAGCTGGCGGCACCGGAGCGCCTGTTTTTTGTTTTGTTTTGATTGTTTGTTAGTTTTTGTTAATCCTCACCCACTGGAGAGTCTGCTCTTGTAGGCGAGGCAAAGAGGGACCCGGGCAGAAAACAGAATTACTCTCATCAAACTGACTGTACGAGGAGCTCAACAGCAATGATCTCCAGTATTTCTTTCTCCTACTTTTTAGAAGTTTGCGCTGCTGTGTAAAACATTACCAAGTGCCGGCCGGCCTGTGTGGCTACGTGGTTGAGCGTGAACCTGTGAACCAGGAGGTCACGGTTCAATTCCCAGTCGGGGCACATGCCCGGGTTGCAGGCTCGATCCCCAGTGTGGGGTGTGCAGGAGGCAGCTGGTCCATGATTCTCTCATCATTGATGTGTCTATCTCTCCCTTCCTCTCCCTTCCTCTCTGAATTCAATAAAATATGTATTTTTAAAATTACCAAGTGCCCATAAATAGATCCACAGACTCAAGGTTTCTCAAAATCACACAGAAAAATGGGCGGCAATGGTGGAAGGCTGCGCTGGGACTGTGGAGAACACGGGGTCCCCAGGGGCTGAGCGTGGCCGTGGAGCCAGTCCGCTGGACAGAGCAGGAGAGACCAACACAGAGAAGCCACAGCCTGCGGCCATCGCTGGGTGGGGGCAGAGGACTCTGGGCGGCTAGTAGCGCAGACGAGGACAGCTCAGCGCCTCCCCCACAGCCCCGGTGTGCGCTCAGTCGGCGTGGATCTGTCTGCTGCCCTCTTGCACAACCGTAAGAATACAGACTCGAGGCACCATCCTGCACAACTCCAGCTGGAAAGAGTGGGCGGGAAGCAGGAGGCAGCGAGGAGGTCGGGAAGGCGATGGGGTGTGAAATGGCAGCTCAGGTGCGCGTTTCCTGGGAGCTGCGTGGAGAGGCCCCCACTGGCCATGGGTCACAGAGGAGCACAGGGAGCAGAGGGGAGGCCAGGCCCAGGCCCCCGCCCTGTGGACCAGGCTCGGGGAGGCCTGGCCGGTCGGCTCCCTGAGGCAGCAGGAATGCAAGAGCCACGGGTGCACGGAGCATCCCGGGAGCTGTAGTGAATGCCAGGTTACCTCAGACCTTTCCCTTCCTCCCAGCATCACGCCTCCGGGGCGCGAAGACGTGAGAGCAGGAAGTGGCTTTAGCACCTTCCAGGAACCAAGCGAGCAAAGCAACAATGAACACAGTCCCGTGAATCTACATCAGAGGGGCCACGGCCTGCCCTTCATCTGCAGTCAGAGCCCATGGCTTTGACAAGAAAGCCTTCTGGGCAGTGAGCTCCATGCGTGGAGCCCTGGTTATAATAAAGGTTAAAATACGGGCTATGGGGCGGCTTACACGCCGATCGCTATTGCAGTTTGCATACAACACACGTCACATGCTTTCTTCTCACTGAGCCTTTGCAGCGGTCATTTCCATGGACGTGGGCGGTTTTCTCAGGATGTCGGCCACTTTAATTACATTTTTGCTCAAGGTTAACCGACACTTCCACTGTCATCTCCCTACTAAGCGGGATTTGAGTTGCTCATTTTCCTCGTCGGGGCCTGATGCGCTGGGTCTGGGGTGACTGCTATCTTTCCAGGCTGTTACTCGCCTATCTGTCCAATAGAGACATTAACCCTGACGGTCACTAACAAATATTCATGCTCAGAACCAAAGGGCTTAATTTCCTGTACCGTGGCCTTCGGTGTCAGAGAGACTTTGAAGCATCGCATCGCTAGGAACCGGGGGACGAGGGGACGAGGGAGGGGCCGCCCCGGGCTACTCACTGGTGTAGCTGAGCTGGAAGCCGGCAGCCGTGTCCGCGCCGTTGCTGTCAAACTCCAGCCGAAGGTGGTTGGAGGTGCTGTTCAGGGTCAGGCCCAGCAGCTCGCGCCGTGTGAAGGTCCCCAGGGGTCGGGAGGCGCCGTCTCGCCCATCGAACACCTGGGGGGGGGGGTCACGCGAGAGCCTGTCACTCCCCGTGGTTTCAGGTGATCAGTAATTTGTGCTGCGCGTGAGCCGCCCACAGACACGCCCACTGCGAGGACCCGGGGACAGCCACCTCCTGGGTTCTGCAGAGAAACGCGTCCCACGGGGACTTGGGAGGGAGGCAGGCGCTTCTGTCCGGAGCTCCTGACCAGAGCGCATGGCTGCTAATGGGGCCCAGGCCCGGCCAGGCCGCTCTATCCTGTGCAAGCGGATGATGGACTGGGGGGAGGGGGAGACACTGACTGTCCCTTGCAGCTGGGTTTGCACATTCTCTCAGCCTCACAGCTAAACAACAGTGGGACCCACAGCATTGGGGTGGGGAGTCGGGTGGGGAGCGTGTCAGCACGAGTGTCATGTGCCTGTAAGAACAAAACCCCAGCCCGGCCGATGTTTTTGGCTGAGTGTTGACCTATGAACCAGGAAGTCACAGTTCAATTCCCGGTCAGGGCACAGGCCTGGGTTGTGGGCTCGATCCCCAGTGGGGGGAGTGCAGGAGGCAGCCGATCCATGATTCTCTCTCATCATTGATGTTTCTCTCTCCCTCTCCCTTCCTCTCTCTGTGTGAAATCAATAATAAATAATAAAAGAATGAGCCCCCCAGACTTTTGCAAAGGGAACGAGAAGAGAGATGCGCCCCATCTGGCCACAGGTCGGCTGTGGGACCTGGACAAGTTGCCACGTCTCAGTGGACCGAGCGGCCGTGGACGAGACGAGGTCCGGCCTCGGTCTGTGCTGCTCCAGGCCTGTCTGTGATGCCGAGGCTCGCTCTGCAGTGGGCGCTCCCTGGGCCCCGGCCCCCAGAAGGCCCCGCTCCCTCGCCGTCCCAGGAGAGGGGGCAGCTTTCAGGAGCCTCTGAGGTCACGGGCATCTCCACTTGGAGGCGGGATGTTCTAGGTCAAGGCAAGACCTGGGCGCCTGGGACCCGATCCCCCTGCCTGTGCCCTGGAGTCCCCCGGGCTGTGGGGGTGCTGGGTGCAGACCCCACAGGCCCTTCCCGAGCCCGGCACTCGCCATCACAGGACACACGGAGCCCTGATGCAGGGCCCGCTCACCCCGCGGGCCTGCCTCCTTGAGTCTGTCCAGTCCCCGCGTGGCTCCTCCATGGGAGCCGGCTGTGTGGCCCCCTGACCGTGGCTGCGAAGTGTCCACAATCCCATCACGGTCATCGTAGCTCTGAATGCCGGGACCGCGTGTACACGGAGTGGCCACAGGGGGTTGGTTGGGGCCCCTGAGCTGTCACAGTGGCTGTGAGGGCTGGGCACAGGGCTGGACCATGCCCTACATTCCACCACTTACCCCTCCCACCAGCCCGGGCGGCAGGCAGCCTGCATGTTTTACACACTGGGAAGCTCAGAGTGTGAAATGATTTGCCCAAGATACACAGCTAACACCGTCGGGCCCAGGGCCACAGACAGAGCTGCTCCGGAGTCCACACTCGCTCCACTAAGTGGCACCTCCGGCCGCCGTCCCAGGGGGAGAAATCCACTGAAGAAGGAGCGTAATGGGGATACACCGGTGCATGCCCACCCCGCCCATCTGCCGTGGAGGGAGGGCCCCGGGGGACGCTGTGCCGGGGGGAGCCTTTACCCGGAGCGTGTCCCCCTCCTGCAGCTGGAAGGTGCGCGCCCACAGGCGGATGCCCTTGCCGGCCTCCGTCTCGATGCTGTAGATGCACTCGTGGTGGTTGTCGTAGTTGGACGGGAAGTTCGGCGACAGCAGCGTCCCTTCGCTGCCCGTGACCCTCGCCCCACACTCAGCTGAAACGGAAGGGGAGAGGATTTGACGTGAGAGGACTGGTGCGGACAGATACAGTTAAAGCCATGGCAGCCCTCCCGTCTCTCACTGGGTCTGTGGTTGATACATTGTAGCCACAGATCCGTGACCTTGACCTTGAGTGTTTCCCCAGCTGCACAGGCAGGTGATGTTCTTCTTTCTTTCTTTTTAAAAAATATTTGTATTGATTTCAGAGAAGGAGAGAGCGATAGAAACATCAATGATGAGAGAGAATCATTGACAGGCTGTCTCCTGCACGCCCCACACTGGGGATTAAGCCCACAACCCAGGCCTGTGTCCTGACCGGGAATCGAACCGTGACCTCCCGGTTCCTAGGTCGATGCTCAGCCCCTGAGCCACGCCAGCCACGCAGGATTTCCTTAGTTCTCTTAATAGGATGCCGATGTTATTTCCGCCCCAGTTACTCTCATCTTACATGGTAGGCAACGTCGTAAACACCCAGGTAACAGGGTAGCGATGCAGAGATAACCCAGAGAAAATAGAATAACGCCGAGTGGATTACGATAATCTACAGGCTGCTTCTCGCTGCGTGTGTAGAACGACGCTGTGACTTCCCTGAGGTGAGGGTTTCTGAGATCTGAAACTCTGGGGTCGGTAATTTCCGACCTGAGGGCAACGGTTCCAGGATTCTGGGAGCTCCGGGGCATCCATAAGGCACTGTGTGTAGTTTTCCTTGAGGGAATGTTCAAAACGTGCACCCAATTCTCAAATAAATATCAAAACCACAAAGAAGGAAGAAGCTTTATTCGGGGAGGAAGCCGGGTGGTAGACGTGTGCAGGCATGTGCCCCGGCAGGAGATGAGGGGCTCCACGCAAGGTCACTGCTGAACTGTCTGCACAGGGAAGTCCTGACTCGCTGACGATCTGTGCCTCATGAAACAGGGAAAGACCAAATTGGCTCTGGAATCAGGGGATTTTCCTAAATAACGCGACAGTGGAAGAGGCTCTCCGCACGGGAAAAGCCAGGATTTCCTCAGCTAACAATGCAGTGTTTGGAGGGTTAAGGAATCTTATTTTCACAACTTCCCCGCCTGCCTCGAGGCGTCCTGGGAGGTTGGCATAGGCACTGCGGGCGGGCACCGTGGGCTCAGTGTTCTCGCCATCAGGGGAGTCGCGGGGACTCTGAGACAAATGCCCGAGGCTCGCTATGCATCAGCCGTTCTCTGCCCGTCATGGGCAGGTGGGGAGGCCGCGCGTGCCCAGCAGCAGGTGGGCGGCAGGTGCGCGGCTTGTGTCTGGGCTGAGGACCAGGCCCTGTGACGTGCAGGCAAAACGCTGTCCTTCAGCCCTGCAGCCCCGACTCCTGCTGCTCCTCCCAGGGGCACAGCCCAGAGTCGCAGGGATGTGACCACTGGGCCCCCCTAACCACTGTCTGCCCAGCGCGTCTCCAAGCGCCTGCACCCTCCCAATGGCATCTGGGAGCCCCTCGTCGATGCTGCAGAACAACCTGGACATGGGGACTCCCACCCAGATTCAGTGCCCACTTACGGGGCCGTGCCCATCAGCCGGTCAAACTGAGAGACAGCGGAACTACAGCCTTTACACTGTCGCCGTCCTGTACCAGGGGAGACATCTGCTTTCCATCAGCACAGCTGTCAAGGGCTGTGCTGCTACAGCCTGTCCAAGGTCGTGTTCCTACAGGGTGTCAGCAGTCGTGTTCCTACAGCGTGTCAGAGCTTGTGTTACCACAGCGTGTCAGCAGTCATGTTCCTACAGCGTGTCAGCAGTCGTGTTCCTACAGCGTGTCAGCAGTCGTGTTCCTACAGCGTGTCAGCAGTCGTGTTCCTACAGCGTGTCAGCAGTCATGTTCCTACAGCGTGTCATCTGTCGTGTTCCTACAGCGTGTCAGCAGTCATGTTCCTACAGCGTGTCATCTGTCGTGTTCCTACAGCGTGTCAGAGCTTGTGTTACTACAGTGTGTCAGCAGTCGTGTTACTAAGAGTGTCAAAGGTTGTGCTACTACAGCGTGTCAGCAGTCGTGTTCCTACAGCGTGTCAGAAATCGTGTTCCTACAGCGTGTCAGCAGTCATGTTCCTACAGCGTGTCAGCAATCGTGTTCCTACAGCGTGTCAGCAGTCATGTTCCTACAGCGTGTCAGCAGTCGTGTTCCTACAGCGTGTCAGAGCTTGTGTTACTACAGTGTGTCAGCAGTCGTGTTACTAAGAGTGTCAAAGGTTGTGCTACTACAGCATGTCAAGGTCATGTTACTACATGTCAACAGCCAGGTTCCTACAGCGTGACAAGGTCGTGTTCCTACAGCGTGGTTTCCAGCTGTTACTTTACCTCGTTTCCTTGTATAAATATGAGTGACGCAGTGTCACTCTCCCTCAGTCATGAATGTTGGGGCGGAAGGAGCTGACCTTCCAGCTGAGACGGCACAGCCGGAGGCTCGCCCCCTGGCAGGCAGCTACGTGGCCGGGTCCACACCCGCCCTCGCCCTTGCCCTCGCCCTCCTCCCACCACGCAGGGCCCCGCGTCCCGACTGCGCCCGGCCCGGCCCCCCTGGATGAATGAAATGAAAGCGTGTGACCACCTACCCACACACCTTGGCAGAGGCGCACTCCACACCCGGCGGCCCCCGCCCAGGCAGGTCAGCGTGGTGGCCCCTTCCAGGCGGTACCCCGCGAAGCAGGAGAAGGTCAGCGCGTCCCCGACCCCGAAGCGGAAGCCCATCCTGCGGCTGAAGGCGGGGACGCCGGGGTCCTCGCACGGCTCCAGGTCGTACTCTGCGTGGGGAGAGAGCAGGCGTGCGAGTCGGGCAGACGCTCCGGCTCCATTCATTCAGAAGAGGGCGACAGGCCGGCCGCGAGGGGCAGTGACCACGCACACAGGTGCCTTCCCGACCCCGTGCCCGCGGGCGATCCTGTTCCTCCTGCCGTGAGCGCTCACACAAGTGGCCTCAGCGTGAGTGTTTTAAGGAGACTTATCACCAGGGAAGATGGCCCTTTCACAGCTGCCTCTCTAAGGGTGGGAAGCTACTGGTATTTTACGATTTCTAATTGCTGAGGTCAGCTCCCCCTCCTCTCACAGCGTCACTGAGGGACCCACACGTGGGCACAAACTCCTAGAGGCGACGCTGGCGGGAAGCTGTGTGCTGCCCCCTCTGCTGCGGACCTCGGGCCAGGCCTCTCCGGCCTGTTGTCAGTGGCGGCAGAGGCTGTGGGCACCTAATGGGCGATATTCCCCCGGCTGCTGGGAGCTCGGCGCCTCGCAGGAGGAAGGTGAGGACTCAGGATAAAAGGGACGATGCCCGTGTGTTGGTGCACTGGGGGACTCAGCCTCCAAACTCAAGTCCTAACAGCGCGTCTGTGCCCATCCTGAGCCACAGTGCCGTGTCCGTCTCTGGCACAGCTGTAGCCGACGTCACCGCTCGGGCCACTGAGCCGCGTGTCCGTCCATGGAAAGTGTGGGGGGCGGGGTGCCTGTTTGAATTTCTTCACCCCAAGCTGAGATGCGGGCACGGACCTCACTGGAGGGCAGGACCCGAAATGACCGGGCACAGGGTCCCCAAGGCGCCTCCAGTGAGGCCAGTGTCCCGGAGGCGGGTAAAATGCCGGCCAGGAGTGCGAGGGCTTGTGGGAGAGACAGTGACACCCACACTTCTCCACTGAGGATCTGCAGAGTCGAGTCCCGTGGGGGCCACCAGGCGTCTGTCCTCTCGCTTCCCACCAACCAATCAGAGTTATTTCTCAGCCACTTATCTCTAATCACACACACAACCACACACCCAACACACACCCCACACTCACACACATACAACCCACACACAGGCATACAACTATACACCACCACACCCCACACTCACATACAACCCACACACATGCACCCCATATGCATGCACACAACCACACCCCCCACACACATGCACACAACCACACCCCCACATGCATGCACACAACCACACCCCCACACGCATGCACACAACCACACCTCCCACACACATACACCTCACACTCACACACATACAACCCACACACATGCACACAACCACATCCCCCACCTGCATGCACCCCACACCCCCACACACATGCACACAACCACACCCCCCACACGCATGCACACACCCACACCCCCACACGCATGCACACAACCACACCCCCACATGCATGCACACAACCACACCCACACACATACACCTCACACTCACACACACAACCACACTCCACACACACACACACACACTCACAGAACTACACCCACCAAACACACAACTATACACCACCCTACCCCCCACATACACGCACACAATCACACCCCACACCCCACACTCACACAACCATACTCACAACCACACTCACACACACCACACACACCACACACACTCACACACTTCACATTTACACACAACCACGTATCCCATACTCACACATACAACCACACGCCCCACATTCACACACCCACTCACACACACACATCCACACACTCCACGCTCACACACACAGACACACATTCACGCCCACCACACCCCCACACCATGCACACACATGCGCTCACACACACAGACACACATTCACACACCCACTCACACACACACATCCACACACTCCACGCTCACACACACAGACACACATTCACGTCCACCACACCCTCACTCCATGCACACACATGCGTTCACACACACAGACACACATTCGCGCCCACCACACCCCCACACCATGCACACACATGCGCTTACACACACACAGACACACATTCACGCCCACCACACCCCCCACACCATGCACACACATGCGCTTACACACACACAGACACACATTCACGTCCACCACACCCCCACTCCATGCACACACATGCGCTCACACACACAGACACACTCGCGCCACCACACCCCCACACCATGCACACAACATGCGCTCACACACACAGACACACAGTCACGCCCCCCACACCCCACACATTGCACACACATGCGCTCACACACACAGACACACATTCACACACCCACTCACACACACACATCCACCACTCCACGCTCACACACACAGACACACATTCACGCCCCACACACCCCCACACCATGCACACACATGCGCTCACACACACAGACACACATTCACACACCCACTCACACACACACATCCACACACTCCACGCTCACACACACAGACACACATTCACGCCCACCACACCCCCACACCATGCACACACATGCGCTCACACACACAGACACACATTCGCTCCCACCACCACACCACACCAGGCACACACATGCGCTCACACACACAGACACACATTCGCGCCCACCACACCCCCACACCATGCACACACATGCGCTCACACACACAGACACACATTCACGCCCACCACACCCCCACACCATCCACACACTCCACGCTCACACACACAGACACACATTCACGCCCACCACACCCCCACACCATCCACACACTCCACGCTCACACACACAGACACACACATTCACCACACCACAACCCCACACCATCCACACACTCCACGCTCACACAACAAGGACACACACTCACGGCCCCCACACCCCCACACCATCCACACACTCCACGCTCACACACAGACACACACTCACGCCCACCACACCCCCACTCCATGCACACACATGCGCTCACACACACCGTACTGTGGTTTCTAGGAAGGGCGGGAGAGCCAGCGCACCAGAGAAGGTGATGTTGAAGCCCTCGTAGGAGATGGAGAAGTCCGAGATGAAGCGCAGCTGGGCGGTGAAGTTGCCGAACAAGCCCGCCTTGATGGTGTGAGGCAGCACCGACCCTGTGAGCCGGGCCACGGGCTCCGAGAAGCTCCCGTCCTCCGTGACCAGCAGGTAGTCGTGCGAGCTCTCCAGGTGGAAGGTGTGGAACATCATCTGGACCCCTGAGAGCAACGGTGGAGATACGTGAGAGACACGATGAGGGAGACCCATGAGAGACACGGAGGGAGATCCATGAGAAACACCGAGAGGGGGATCCATGAGAGACACAGAGGGATCCATGAGAAACACCGAGAGGGGGATCCATGAGAGACACGGAGGGGGATCCATGAGAGAGAGGGATCCATGAGAAACACCGAGAGGGGGATCCATGAGAGACACGGAGAGGGATCCATAGAGACATGGAGAGGGATCCATGAGAGACACGGAGGGGGATCCATGAGAGACACGGAGGGGGATCCATGAGAGACACGGAGAGGGATCCATGAGAGACATGGAGGGGAATCATGAGAGACATGGAGAGGGATCCATGAGAGACACGGAGGGGGATCCATGAGAGACACAGAGAGGGATCCATGAGAGACACGGAGGGGGATCCATGAGAGACACCGAGTGGGGGATCCATGAGAGACAGGAGAGGGATCCATGAGAGACACAGAGAGGGATCCATGAGAGACACGGGGAGGGATCCATGAGAGACACGGAGGGGGAATCCATGAGAGACATGGAGGGGGATCCATGAGAGACACGGAGGGGGATCCATGAGAGACACGGAGGGGGAATCCATGAGAGACACGGAGGGGGATCCATGAGAGACAAGGAGGGGGATCCATGAGAGACCGGGGGATCCATGAGAGACCAAGTGGGGATCCATGAGAGACACGGAGAGGGATCCATGGAGACACGGAGGGGGATCCATGAGAGACACGGAGAGGGATCCATGAGAGACACGGAGAGGGATCCATGAGAGACACGGAGGGGGAATCCATGAGAGACACGGAGGGGGATCCATGAGAGACACCGAGTGGGGATCCATGAGAGACATGGAGGGGGATCCATGAGAGACAAAGGAGGGGGATCCATGAGAGACACTGAGGGGGATCCATGAGAGACCGGAGGGGGGATCCCATGAGAAGACACGGAGAGGGATCCATGAGAGACATGGAGGTGGATCCGTGAGAGACACGAGAGGGATCCATGAGAGACATGGAGGGGATCCATGAGAGACAACGGAGAGGATCGAGAGACACGGAGGGGATCCATGAGAGACAACGGAGGGGGAATCCATGAGAGACACCGAGTGGGGGATCCATGAGAGACATGGAGAGGGATCCATGAGAGACACGGAGGGGGATCCATGAGAGACACGGAGGGGGATCCATGAGAGACACGGAGGGGGATCCATGAGAGACACGGAGAGGGATCCATGAGAGACATGGAGGTGGATCCGTGAGAGACACGGAGAGGGATCCATGAGAGACATGGAGGGGGATCCATGAGAGACACGGGGAGGGATCCATGAGAGACACGGAGGGGGATCCATGAGAGACACCGAGTGGGGGATCCATGAGGACCACGAGGGGGTAGGATCCATGAGAGACACAGGGAGGGATCCATGAGAGACACAGGGAGGGGATCCATAAGGAACACGGAGGGGGGAGGGAGAACGTTGCTGGAGATGCCTCCTTTTGGGCTGTGAGAAATCTGTCTGGAATCCAAATTTAACCTTAAGCTTTGAAGTCCATGCAGACAATGGGTGAAAGAGTGTGGCTTTAGAAATGAAAGAAATGAGAGAAGTAAACAGCAAAAATGAATAAATGTTTAAGTATATATAAGTGTAATGGTAGATGTAGGTATAGATACATAGACATCAATCAACATAGATCTAATATCAGTGTAGGCAAGATGGAGACACAGATATAGATAAAGATGTAGCGATAGCTAGATATTGATATATAGATACAGACAGATATAGACTTACTAGTAGATATAGATATATAGTTTATAGAAATAGATATAGATGTAGGTATAGATATAGACATAGATATATACTTACTAGTAGATATAGATATATAGTTTATAGAAATAGATACAGATGTAGGTATAGATATAGATATAGACATAGATATAGATGTAGGTATAGATAGATATAGATATAGACGTAGATACAGATTTATAGTGAGGGATAGAGACAGAGTACACGTGACGGACTTGACCATGGCCTGCATGCAGAAATGGTCGCTGGGCCCTTCAGCAGAGCATCTGTAATGACGGACGAGAGAACCTCCCCATTTGCGTTGAACAGATGCCCTGGAGGAAGTCTTAGCTTGGACCGCCCAGCACGTACCCCCACACCTGCGGGAAGGCGCAGTGTATGTGCCTCACACACATGCTCGCCCAGCCACGGCGCCCACACAGCATCCTTTCTGGATCCCCAGAGCGAAGTCAGTGAAATGAGCTATGAACAGGTTCTTTTGTCAAAAAACGTCTCCATGTGATGGCATTAGTCATGTGGCTCTTTTTATTCTTAACTTTCTTCAAGGCCGACCCTTTCCCAAGCCTGCTGGGGGCGGGGGTGGCTCAGCATTGGAGTGACATACACGTGTCACTCCAACCTCAAGGAGAGGTCAGATGTGAGTCTACATGATACTTATGTGATCAAATCCCTCAATTATTTTGTCAAAAAAGACAAGTTCAGACATCTCAAAAAAAAAACAAAAACCTAAAAGGAAACCCATGGGGCAGCCCTGTGCCCTTCCTGTGTGCATGAGCTCTGGTCCTGGCACAAAGGGGCCTTTCCCGGGTCCCCGCTATGCGCCTGTGCAGTGGGGAAAGGCAGGCTGTGCCATGAGCCACAGGGGGTCAGGCAGAGATCTGACGCGGGAATGTCGAAGCCCAGCGGCACCCAGGGTGCCCAGGTCTCTCGGGGAATTGGAAGTTGAGTCCATTTCTTCTCACTATCTATTCAATAGTCACATCCTACACAATCTCCGCCTCCTTTCCTTACGTTATGCTGAATTTTCAAGTCTACGCTCACATGCATAAACCCAGTGTATCTGACAAATACGCAGTAAAACAAGAAATCCACTTTTGCTCGTAGCACTAATCACTTAAAGACCATTATTCTTCTAAAATGTGTAAAAACATAAACATTAGCAGCGAAACCACGCGAGATCTGTCCGCTGACTCACGCAGACACTCACACCCTTTCTCCCCCCCGCGTCTGCATCCTGTGAATGACCGCCAGTCGGAGATGGACGCCGTGTCCCTACCTTTTCCGTGGGACACTTCGATGGTCCAGGTGCAGTTGAGGGAGTTTGGGTAAAAGTCTGGAAACCCCGGAGACAGGACGGTCCCGCTCTTCCCGTGGACGTAGCCTCCACAGAGGGCTGGAAACAGTAAGACAAGGTCACTGCACGTTCATTTCAGAATTCATTTCAGAACGGCTGCGAGAATGAAATTCACGTACAGGGACATTTAACTGGCCGAGGACTGAAGGACCAGCTACTATCAGCGACATAATAACTGAAACTAAGCCACACTTTATTTTACTGTAATCACAATGTGCTAATTCCTCTACAGGCGTCCCGCGTTGTAAAAAACAAAACCCAGAAAAACCACAGAGCGAGCGGAGAAGCTGAAGCGAACCCTCCTGTGACAGCGAACTCTCCGCGGCTGCTGGCGCCTGGCCCTGGGTCCGAGGCCCTGCCTCAGGGCGGGGCTATACCTCAGCTCTGTAAGGCTGAGTGTCTGGGGGAATATAGTTGAAGGGCAGCCCATAATTTTTCCTTCTTTTTTAAAAAATATTTTTTATTGATTTCAGAGAGGAAGGGAGAGGGAGAGAGAGAGAAATGATGAGAGAGAATCATGGACCGGCTGCCTCCTGCACGCCCCCAACTGGGGATGGAGCCCGCAACCCGGGGCCTGTGCCCTGACCTGGAATTGAACCTTGACCTCTTGGTTCACAGGTTTGATGCTCAGCCAATGAGCCACGCAGGCCGACCTAATTATTCCTTCTTCTTTGCTAGACCCACGCTCCCTGTTAGACACAACGTGCTAGTAACTGTGAGATGTTAAATGGGGACAGCATTTAAGGTGACACTTTGTCAGATGGAAGTGCCACTTCCTCACCTCGCACCGCCCCCTAGAATCCCCCTGCCGCCCCGACTGCACACGCACGCCCCTGCATTCCCTGGGGTGCGGCTCACCCCCTAGAATATCCCCCCCCGACTGCACACGCACGCCCCTGCGTTCCCCGGGGTGCGCTTGCGGGGCCCCTACCGTCGCAGCTGGGCAGCGCGTGGTTCCACTGGTGGTTCCTCTCGCAGACGAGCGGCTCATCGTCGCTGAGCGTGTACCCAGGGTCGCAGCCGAAGGTCACGGTCGACCCGATGCCGAAGTTGCTGCCGTGCCGACGGCCGTTCACGGGGATGCCGGGGTCCAGGCAGGCGTCCGACTCGAGCGTCACACCTACAGGTACACGCCCGGCAAGAACACGTCAGGAGGGAGGGCCTCTGGCTTATGGAAGAGAAAGCAGTGTCTGTGCCTGGAACCTGGGAAGGAGCCCCGAGAGGTCGGCCCTGGGAATGCGCGTGTGGACTCCACGCCTACACCTGCAGACGGGAGAATCCCGGGCGCCGGCCCTGCCTTCTGTGGAGACGACCCGCCGGTGCGAACTGGACAGCCGCCGCCGCCCTGGACAGCACTCGCTTCCCTGGACGCTCAGTATGGACAGTGAGGGCGCCGAGGAGGCCCAGTCTGTGCTGTTTCCGTCCCCCTCCCCCTCCTCCTCGCCCCGCTCTCAGCGTCGTATGTCCCGCCGGGTTGGGCCGTCGCGCTCAGCTTTCCTGTAGCGGCGCCCAGGCCCAGGCCCACACGTATGACGCACAGTGAGGCTGCCCGGGCCGATCCTGAGACTGCGTTCCACACACCCACACATTGGCTGCAACGGGCACTAAGCCAGCCATTCTCCAGGGGGCTCCATCAGCCTGTGCTCACAGGTGTGAACGGGAAGTGCTGTCCCAAGTCACATGATCAGGCTCATGTCATCGTACCCTCTCTCCTCTGTCTCTCACATGGCTCTTTGCTCTTAGAATAGCACATATTTTGAAAATAAGGAAAATGGGAAGAAGGAAAGAGAATATCATTGCAATGTTTATAAATGCAAATAAAGAAAAAAGACATTATTGCTATACAAAACCTTATAATAAAGTTCAGAAAGTTATGATTATGACATGAAGTATTCTCCAGAAATCCTAAATTATTGCCAACATTCCTACTGCTCACTCCCCCACCATGACCTTTGGGATAACAGTCTAAGCGCTGCATATACTGAGCTCAAGTATGGGGTGGCTGTCCCTTCCTCTAGGACGTCCAGGACATGAAACGCAGCTAAGGAGGGACATTTCAGACCAAGCAGTGGGACGGCATTTCTTCATTAGCACAGCGACCTGTGCCTCAATTGGCAAGGAGACACGAGCAGGCCGTCTGAGCCACGATTCAGAAATGCGTGGTAAGGGTGTGGCTCCATCCACAGGGAGCCAGCCTCTGGGAGGTCATCCGGACTCTGGGGATCACCTGAGTGGAGGGAGTCATTTATCCAAGTTGCCCTGAGGCCACCCCTGCGGGTCTATATTCCCAGGAGCGGCAGGTGCTGAGGCTACCCCTGAGGGTCTATATTCCCAGGAGTGGCAGGTGCTGAGGCCACCCCTGAGGGTCTATATTCCCAGGAGTGGCAGGTGCTGAGGCCACCCCTGAGGGTCTATATTCCCAGGAGCGCCAGGTGCTGAGGCCACCCCTGGTAGTCACATTTCCAGCAAACACTATTGTTCAGGATGAGCCATCTCCGGGATGTGCCCTGTTAACAGGTGACTTTCTGACAGCACAGGTCTGTGATTACGTTATGTAGTGAGAGCACATTTCGTTGTTTTAATTACTGTGTTGTTTTACTTTAAGATAAACAGATATGCCTTTTCAAGCAAAGTTCCCCAAGCTGCACCCTGGGTAGGAGAGAGAGTTCGGAGATCAGGCAGCGGTGTCACCTGCATGCTATGTCCCAGCCCAGGTGTCCTGAGCCCCCGGGCACCTTGCTAGAGCACGGGGATGGGGACGGGGACAGGGACGGGGTCGGGGACGAGGATGGGGACAGGGACATGGACGGGGACAGGGACGAGGACGGGGATGTGGATGGGGACAGGGACGGGGAGGGGGAGGGGGGCGGGGAGGGGGATAGGGACGGGGACGGGGACAGGGACGAGGATGGGGACGGGGACGGGGATGGGGAGGGGGACAGGGAGGGGGATAGGGACAGGGACGAGGATGGGGAGGGGGACGGGGACAGGGACAGGGACGGGGACGGGGACGGGGACGGGGATGGGGATAGGGACAAGGATGGGGACAGGGACATGGACGGGGACGGGGAGGGGGACGGGGACAGGGACAGGGACAGGCCAGGACTCACTCTCGTAGCGGATGAGGAAGCCCACGCTGGCCCGGCTGCTGTCCGTGGTGAAGAGCAGGCGCATGGAGTGGCCGGTGCTGATGAGGAACTGGGGGGCCTGCGTGCCCTGGTACTCCCCGATCAGCGGGGACGAGCTGCCCGGCCCGTCCCGCACCTCCAGGGTGTCGTAGTTCACCTCGGTCTGGAACCTGGGGACAGGACGCCAGTCGGGAAGATGCACACAGCCATGTAACCCGCAGACATCCCCGCGGGATCTCAGTCGCTGATGACAGACTCGTGGGTGCAACAGACATAAGTGAGTGCAGTTCCCTGTGCCTGTAACCACGTGGGCACCTGTAGCCTTCCAGAACAGAGCTTCTTACTAGAGGAAAAGGACACCCACACCCCTCCCTGTCACTCCATACCCAAATGTAACAGACAGAGGGCGCTGGTCGGCTCTAAATAAAACACCCCTCAACCAGGCCAGCCAGTGTGGCTCAGTGGATGAGAGTCAACCTATGAACCAGGAGGTCACTGCTCGATTCCCGGTCAGGGCACATGCCCGGGTTGTGGGCTCGATCCCCAGGGTGGGCCGTGCAGGAGGCAGCCGATCCATGATTCTCTCTCATCATTGATGTTTCTATCTCTCTCTCCTTCTCCCTTCCTCTCTTTGAGATCCATAAAAATATATTTTAAAAAATACCCGTCAACCAGATTAGCTTTCATAAAATTGATAGATGGACCAATAATCAACAATTACTGGAAAATCCATCAGTTTGCCTTTTCAAACGACTGTCACCATCCTCTGTTTAACAGGATGGATGGCTCACAGGGCGGGGCTGGAATCCAAGGTACAGGCTGGGCACTGGGTTGAATGGCGCAGCCTCGTCTCTCACTGTTTAAATGTTCTCTACAGGTTCTCCGTGACCGGAGTTCGAACTCGGAAGTCTGGGTGAGCAGGGGGCAGACCCCATCTCAAACATGCATCACAGTGCTCACGGTTTCTTTAGCGACAGCTGGGGGAGGGAGAGCGCACCCAATGTGTTCCCGAGGGTTAAGATGATGTGCCCGGATCCACTCTCCCATAACACAGACGCATAACCTAGTCACTTCTTTTCTTTTGAGAGACCTTCCTGCGGAGACTGCTATTGTCCCACCAAAACTAAACAATAACATCGCTCACCATTTCAAAGGCAGGTAATCACGAGGAGATCAGGTGGCTCTGCTCACGACCTTCCCTGGGCGGTTGTCACCATCGATTATTAGAAAAGTAGCAACACCTAAACTAAACTAAACTAAACTAAACTAAAGGACATCCACCCCCCGCGAGACAGTATGTGCTGGGAGTTGGTCCATCCTTGCTGCTTGACACAGTCGCTGCAGGAAAGAAACATCTGCACAGCATATGTTTCAAGGGACCTGGCATATATGGCATACTGTTCTTAATATGTTTGCTCACCTTCTTGGCGCTATGTGTTTTAACCAAGGTCACCTCTCTGAGAAAGGTTGTTTCCCCAGGTAGGGATTTTCTCCTGAAGTTAGGGAGGGAATAAAACCCCTTAACTAAGTGCCAGGCGGGTAGTTAATCACTTTAACTATGAACAATCATGCTTAAGCTACATAATCTTTACTCCCTGGAATGGAGATAAGAAACGCCCTAACCTTTGTAATAGAGATTGATAGGATTGGAATCAACTGGTATAAATACAGATGTAACAAGACAACAGGAGACAGAACCTAGAGAGAGAACCTACACAGAACCTAGAGACAGAAGAACTTTGCTGGAGAGAACATGGCAAAAGATCCTGGACAGAAACTGGCCACAGAACCTAGAGATAGAACCTAGCGAGAGAACCTGGCTAAAGAACCTAGAGACAGAACCTGGCTACAGAACCTGGATAGAACATGGCAAGAGAACCTGACTAGAACCTGGTGACTGAACCTTGCTGGGGTCCAACCCCAGAAGGTCCAGGGGTCCCCAAAGGTGTGGATGGAGTCAGCGAAGACTATCCACCCTCTTCCTACGGTGGAGTCCTATCCACCCTGAGATTGGAGCTTACCTAGGGGTCCCTGTTCGGGCGCCATATGCTGGGGTCCAACCCCAGCAGGTCCAGGGGTCCCCAAAGATGTGGACGGAGTCGGCAAAGAAGGAATGACACAGAAGCAGCGTTCAGTTGATCAGCAGCCTAGCCCGGATCTCTTGCCAGGATCTGTAGCCATGTTCTCTCGCTAGGTTCTCCAGCCAGGTTCGGTTGCCAGGTTCTGTAGCCGGGTTCTTCAGCCAGGTTCTGTCTAGGTTCTCCAACCAAGTTCTGTAGCCAGGTTCTGTCCAGGATCTTTTGCCATGTTCAGTCTCTAGGCTCTGTCTCTAGGTTCTGTGTGGGTTCTGTGTCTAGGTTCTGTGTAGGTTCTGTGTCTAGGTTCTGTCCTGTTGTCTTGTTACATCTGTATTTGTACCAGTTGATTCCAATCCTATCAATCTCTATTCCAAAGGTTAGGGCGTTTCTTATCTCCATTCCAGGGAGTAAAGATTATGTAGCTTAAGCATGATTGTTCATAGTTAAAGTGATTAATTACCCACCTGGCACTTAGTTAAGGGGTTTTATTCCCTCCCTAACTTCAGGGGAAAATCCCTACCTGGGGAAACAACCTTTCTCAGAGAGGTGACCTTGGTTACAACACATAGTGCCAAGAAGGTGAGCAAACATATTAAGAACTGTATGCCATATATATGCCAGGTCCCTTGAAACAGCAAGGATGGACCAGCTCCCGGCAGAACCTGGCTGGAGAATCTGGACAGAACCTAGAGACAGAACCCAGCAAGAGAACATGGACACAGAACCTGGCTGAAGATCCTAACCAGAACTTTGCCGGAGATCCTGACCAGAACTTGGCTAGAGAACCCAACCATGTTGATCAACTGAACGCTGCCTCTGAGTCTTTCCCTCTTCGCTGACTCCATCCACACCTTTGGGGACTCCTGGACCTGCTGGGGTTGGACCCCAACAAGTATAATCCCTGAGCATCAAACCCCGACCCCTGCGCGCAGAGGAGGCCCTGCCAGGGACACCCCGAGACAGCCTGGAGGGCATGCTGGACACCCCAACCACCACGCTCCCTTCGATTTTAAAACATGTGGTTCCTTCAAACCGTTTTTGCTTTATAATCCTCAGCTGGATTTCGTTGTTGAAACAAATGGTAAAACGTTTCATTATGAAAAATTCTAATAGCATGATCGTGTTTTAGGTGATCAGACACGTTATCTCGCAGCCACGCCCGAGGCACTCCTGGGATCTCTCCCTGTAGGTAAGTCACTTGGCCATTCACCTGGCAGCCCTCCCCAGGGCCAGCTTGGCCCCTGACGCCGCCCTGCAGTTACCCGCCGCCGCCACCAGAGGCACTGTTCCCTGCGCTTCCAGGGGGTGCTAAGGGTCTGAAGGAGGCGCATGCACAATCAGACAAGCAGCCCTGGCTGGTGTGGCTCAGTTGGTAGAGCGCCGGCCTGTGGACGGAAGGGTCCCAGGTTCGACTCCCAGTCAGGGCACATGCCTGGGCTGTGGGCTCCATCCCCAATTGGGGGTGTGCAATGATTTTCATTATTGGTGTTCTTTCTCACTCTCCCTCTCCTTTCTTCTCTGAAATCAATAGAAATATATTTAAAAAACAAGCACAAAGAACCAAGCAGAGTGGGTTCCACCTGCAGGTGTGCATCCAGAGGGGCTCAGGGCTGGGCACTGGGACTCTGGGCAGCAGCAGTGAGTGGTGAGGGTGGGGGGGGCTAGACTGTCACTTCTGAACTGAGACTCGGAGGATCAAGCTCAAGAACTAAACATACCAAGCATGTGCCTATTTCCTCTAAGCAAACCCCTCTGGGGAGCAATAAAGCAGGACCAGACTCCACAGTCTCCAGGCCCATTTAGAGGGGATGCTGGGCCCCATGGCTCCTCGGTCCCCGTTAAGGAAGGAGGCTGTTCCGTACCTGTCGAAGGTGATTTTGACAGCGTGCCCTGGTTTTGCCTCGACGACCCATTCACAACTGAGAGAGTCTTTGTAGTACCCTGGCCACCCAGGGGGCAAGATGACCCCGCTGGACGCGGTCAGGTGGCCGCCGCACGGGGCTGAAAGGGAGAGGGGTCACAGGTCATTGACTGCGTGTGGAGTGGACACACGCCCCACCCCACACGCCCTCACCCCACACGCCCCCACCCCGTACACCCTCACCCCACATGCCCCCACCCTGCACGGCCTACCCTGCACACCCCCACCCCATACACCCCACTCCACACACCCCATCCTGCACGCCCTTACCCCGCATGGCTCACCCCGCACGGCCCTCACCCGCATGCCCCCACCCCGCACGCCCCCACCCCATACACCCCACTCCACACACCCCACCCCGCACACCCCCACCCCGCACGCCCTCACCCGTATGCCCCCACCCCATACACCCCACTCCACATACCCCACCCCGCACGCCCTCACCCCGCACGGCCCTCGCCCGCATGCCCCCACCCCGCACGCCCCCACCCCATACACCCCACCCCGCACGCCCCACCCCACACACCCCACCCCGCAGGCCCCACCGGCAGGAGGGAGGCGCCCTGCTGTGCTCGCGGAGTGAACGCCGCCAAGCTCTAAAGCGAAACTGACTCCCGAGTGAACGCGGCGCGCGGCCCTGAGGTTTCGGCAACACATGCACGACACTTATCTCATGTGCCCGCCACACCCACAGGCGCCATCTGAGAAAGACACACAGCAAATACAGACGGAGGAGTGGTTTCACTACCTCGGACGGTCCTAAATCTGCGTGATGAACACTTCCTACGGGTCTCCTTTCCCTCATGGGATGCGCCTAGCCTAGCCTGTCACACATTATTCTTGCCGCCTGTGGCGTCTTTGCACATCACTGTGTACTGTGCAGGGCCCTGGGGACCTTGTGTACTCCGTCCGGATGAAAGGCAGGCGGGTCTTTACACTGCACAGCGACAAAGGTGAACCTCAAGTGTTCAGTGATGATGTCGGCACTCGGGCCGGAAGCTGACAATTCCGCTGCCACTTACACTGAATTGGCCAGAACCCAGCACAGGGTCTTGCCCAACCGCAGGGGGCGCAGGAAGCGAAGACCGTGTGGTGGAGAGCGGGAGGCAGACACGTGTGCCAGTGACATGCGTGCTCACACACGTGACGACCTGCCAGCGTGGGAGTCAGGGCTCGCGGACGCCATCCTCCTTTGACGTATGGACCATTTGCATTGGCGTGTCCCCTGCAACCGTGTTCCTAAAATAAGCCTTCCCGACCCAACATGTGTTCTGTGGCTGACTCTCCCTGCAGACCTTTGGCGCGGGCCTGTTCCACGAACACTGGGTCATGAGAGGCCGCAGGAGCCGGCGCCCGGCCCTGTGGGGGTGCTCCCCGCGTGCACT